GCTGTGTTCTCTGCTTGTGTCAGTGCTGCCTGGAGAAAGAGCCCAGCCCCAGCTGAGCACAGGCACCTTTCAGGAGCTGTGCAGAGTGATGAGGGCACCCCTGAGTCTCCTTTTCTCCAGGCTGAGCACCCCCAGCTCCCTCAGTTGTTCCTCACAGGGTTTGTGTTCCCAGCCCCCCACCAGCCTCGTTGCCCTCCTGTGGATGCAGATTTGGTGACTGCAAGGTTTGGGAGGTTGGATTTTGGGGCTCCAAGGCCATGGGGAGGCACACACTGACCAGCAGGGACATGGCACAGGTGGAAGCCCAGCTCCAGGCACTGGGTGCCACCTCTGCCTGCCCCAGGGGCTGGCATCTGCTGCAAGTGCTGCTGGCATTGCCTCGTTTCCCCCAGCAAATCCTCCCTCGGTTTGCCCCGTGCTGGCACTGCAGCAGCCTCTGGCACGGAGCTGTGGGCTCCAGGGCTTGCTGGCACCTCACAGCCCCAGCAGGGTGGCTCGTGGTAGCCCCAGGGGCTGGTTCTGGCCACCTGTGCTGGAGAACATTGTCCTTGCACAGCCTGTGAGGATGGAGGGACAGGAGCAGTGAGGGACAATGGCACCATCCCTCCCTGATGCCACGGGAATCCTCCACAGGTGATTTGTCTAAACCTGTCTGTGTGGGGTCAGTATTTTCTTAGGGGCAGCTCTGTTTGCAGGTTCCCACTCCTGCTCCCCCAGAGGGGCTCACACTCTGTCAGAGCTGCTGTTCCTGCCCCTGGGTGGAGGCAGAACATCCAGCACACGGATCCCTGCAGTGGGATTGGGATCAGGGTTGGGACCAGGCCATCCCATTGGGGCAGGGCTGTGCCAGGATGAACTGTGTGCCCTGCTGCTAAGAGGCTTTTCCATGTCCTCTCTCTCTCTGCTTTTCCCCATCACCATCTGCCTGCTGCAGGGCAAATCCTGCACTAATCCTGCCCAGCCTTCCCCAGCAACAGCAACAGCCACAGTGGAGCTGCACTGCCCGCCCTCCTGGGCTTCCGGTGGATTATTTCCTGTGAGGAAACAACCCACAGCCTCTCAAGTGACTTGTCATCCACCTCCCCAGGGAAAAAAAAATCATTTTATTATTTTAAATCAAAAGGATTTGACTTTTTTTGCCCCTCAAAGGGCACCAGTGCAGGTGAGAAGGGGAATGGAGTGCCAGAGAGCCCAGCCCTGCTGGGCACTCCTGCCCCAGTGTTCCCAGTGGGATCCCTGTAGTGCCCCTGCCACTGCTGGAATTTTAAAAAAACCAAAGGCCAAAGAGATGGAAGGAAAGAGCCTTTCCTTCCCCCATCTCCTCCCGTAAGTCATTTTCCCTGGCCTATTTTACAGGAACTGAAAATCTATTAGAGGAATGGCTTAATCCGGTTTGACTGTAATAATTAGGGTGCTTTAAAAACCCCTGACTAATCGTATAAAATGTGATTGTAGACAGCTCAGTGCACGACCCTTACACTTATCACTGGAGGTATTATTACAAACCAGAAACAGCTGGCAAGCACGGGGGAGGATAAATGGAATAAAAAATCACATGCAAAGGGACAGGGCCTGTTCCTTTTCTGATCTCAGGGCTGCGCCTTGAGCTGTCTCTGGAGCCCAGAGCACAAAGTCACCTCCAGTACCCCGACAGACACAGCTCAGCTGTTTGTGCCACTGTGCCCTGCCAGCCCTGTGGGCACCTCTTTTCCTCTTTGCCCTGGTTTTGCAGGCAGTCCAAGAGGATTGGAGTCAGACATTCCCCTCGGGGCACTGCAGATGTCTGGAGAGGCTTTTCCAAAGGCAGGCAGGCTCCATCAGGGAGGAGGATGGTTCAGGGTCATGGGGTTATAGCACAAAAGCAGCTCCTGCTTCCATGTCTTGCTTGGTGCCAATCTCCTTTTCTCTTGCTCTCCATCTTTCTCAAGCCCCAACCATTTCTCCCTTGCCTTCTCTTTGTGGCTCTGGGCTCAGCTGAGTTCCCACCTTGCCATCTCCACACCTTTGGTGCAGTTATTTTTTCCCACCTGTCCTGCCAGTTGTTCCCCAGGATTGCTGCCTGCCCAGGATGCCTGGTCCTGCCAGCTGAGCTCATCCCTGTGCTGCCCGTTCTCCTTCCACCCGCTCCAGGGGGGCAGCCACACAGCCCAGGCACCCTCCCCTGCAGCACTGACAGCTCTTCCAGGGGCCCACAAGGGAATTTTGGGGGAGCTCAAACTCTGCCAGAAGGGAGAAGATCACCCAAAGAGATTCCTGCTGCAGCAGGGTCAGGCACGGGGGGAGAAGCTGGAGCTGATGGACTTGGCCAGCAGAGAGGGGGACAGGGAGGGCTCTTTGTTCCTCAGATCAGCCAGAGCTGAGCCTGAACCCTCAGCCAGGCACAGCTCAGGAAAACATTGCTCTCCAGAGCCCCTCAAGGCTGCACAGAGAGCCCACAGCCCTGATGAGCCCGGGCTGTCACCAACACGCTCTTTAATCAGAGCTGAAAACTCACCATCAACCTTGAAGGAGGCTTTTAAAGACTGAAATAATAAGATGATGCACTACAATTCCAATTTTCTCCCTGTTCCTGTGATTAAAATACGTGGCTGAATCTTGGAAGCTCAACTGCAGCTTGCACAGGAGCTATAATAACAATATTCACAGTGGTGGCACTTGCAGCAGGAGTTGAGTTGTTTGGTTTCTTTTACTTTCCCCCTGAGTCTTTCCTGTTTTTTTTTTTTTTTATTCTGCTCTATACAGATTTTGATCTTTCCTTTATTAAATAGGAATGGTTATCCCCACAGACTCACTTATCTAGTAATAGCTAGAACCCTTTTAATTCAAGTGATTTGATTCCTGTTTTTTTTTTTTTTTTATTCAAGCAAACACACAGAGTATTACTGGGAAACTGCAATAGAATTGCATGGTTAAATTATCCCCTGACTCAATCCTGCACAGCACTGGAACCTTTCAATATATTTCACAAGTACTCAGTGCTGACCTCTAACACCAGAGTGGTTTCTCTCCTGTGGTAGCTCAATTTCACAACTCTGAATACACTTTTATTTTTTGGAGGAAAGCTATCCGAAGGTTTTACAAAATGTTCTTTAGCCTTTGGGAATGAGTCAATTTAATGCCAGGCTATCATTCCATTTCAAAGAGCCGAAGGAGTTGAGGCAACACAATCTGCTTTCTGAAGCATGTGAGATGAATACAGCTGTGGGTTTGTTACAAACCAAGCTGCAGAGTTTGGGCACAGAGCTCAACTTTCCCAAAGTTCAGCTGTGGCCCTTGGTTTGCCAGCTGCATTTCCTTTAACCTCCCATTCCAAGGAATGCCTGTATCAGGAAAAGATGGGAAGGGGGACATTGCTGCCAGGAAAAGTTCCTATAATCCACTGATTTTAAAATTAGGAGGAAGTCCATTGGAAGGAATTCCCATTAAAAGGGAATGGAGCTCCACTGTAAAGTAGAAGATGAGCTGCAGTTTAATTACTATTTTCCTATTGGAAATGGGTGAGAACATAGGGAATAAAATCCAAGCATTAAAAGGGGAAAATGGGAAGCTCTGGAAATGCCTCCTGAAATCCAGAGTCACCTTGGGGCTGGTGCAAGGTGCAGCCTCTGCCTGGCAGCACCACACAAATGCCACCCACCAAGAAAACCCACGGGAGCCACTCTCAGTCACATCGAACTTTATTTTAATCCCGTCAGAAAAGTTCAAGAATTACACCAAAAAATACTTCAGTCTCTGCTACCTACTGACAAAAAATACACCACAAAATTATAAACTGTTCAGTGGTTTTGCTGGAGTTGGGGCTGTTGGTGGAGGGGGTGGTTTGTACATTTTGAGTGAGAAATGAATTTACAGGTGGAAAGGGAAGGGAGGAGAGGGGGTCAGACAATGGTGTTTGGCACTACAGTTTTAGCTACACTATACAGTTATTTATCATGATGCCTGCAGGACTGAGGAGTTCTGCCCTCACACACTGCCCAGAGTCTCTGACATGGAGGACAAAACTGCCCAATGCGAGGGAAGAAGGGGCCAGTTCCTAATTTCCATCCCAGTCTAGCCAAAAATCTGAAAAAGCAGCTCAGACAAGGTGAACCTTGCCCTGCCTGTGCACTCTGCTCTTGCAGCTCTGGAAAAAGAGAATCCTTGGGGGTTTTTTAAATCCCACCAGCCTTGCACTAATCTCAAGAGCCATTTGTGGGGAGAGGATGTGTTACTCTGGGCAGGACTGGATTAAACTTGGGGTCTGCAAGCAGAGATTTGGATTTTACCTCTCTCTAGTGACATGGAAATGCTGAAGGAGCTGAAGCTGAAGGAGGGAAGCAGGAGCATCCCATTTCATGGGAAAATCAGGGGCTGAAAATTAGAGGCTCAATACTATCAGAACTTTTGAGATGCTTTTCTCATCATAATGGCATTTCTTTGAGCTTTGGTGGCCCTCAGGAGAGAGGTCCCAAAGGATGAAGCCTCATGGAAATTGCCAAAGCTCGTGCAGGGAATCTATGCCAGAAGCAGACTCTGAGTCCTGTGCTCAAAAGTTAATTCAAGATTTCACTACAGCAGCCTCTGCCTGCTCCCATCTTGCTCCATCTCCAAGCAGCAGCCTGGATTTCAGCCTCAGAGCCTGGCCAGGACCAGCAGCACTCTGGTGGCTCAATAGGAACTCCAGGAACTTTCTGGGTTTCCTTGGGGCACTGTGCAGGGTTTGTGTTTGCACGTGAGCATGTCTGGGGAAGGAGGGGATGCCTGTATTTCTCTCTCAGTGAATGAACACTGACACTGGATTCAATCTGACAGCAAAATATCTCCCCTTTGGCAAACCAAACAGCACCACAAAGTCTTTGTACCAGGTTCTGTCTACCCCTCCTGAAAGGATTCCAGCTCTTCCTTCACTGCGTGTGGAGCCTCTGTCACAGCTTTCCAGCACTGACAAAACTTGGTGGGATTCTCTTTGCTGCTTTTATCCTCTCTGGCTGTTTACCTAACTTGCTTTTTTTGTTTTTTAATTTATTTTTCTAACAAATAGTTAAGCAATGATTTAAAAATATTTTTACATCGTTAAGGTACAGTCAACATCAAACATGCCTTTGTACAAGAGCTCGACTCGGTAACAAATCAACGAGAACAACGCACAAAAAGAAATATCCACGAAGCTGATCCTGCACTTGGGTTGGATTCCCTCCTGCCCCGCTGCCAGCAGGGCACGCTCAGGTGTTGTCCCCCCTCCCTCCCGCTCCAGCTCCGCCCAGCTCGTTCCCTTTAATGACCTTCTGTCTTGGCAGCCTTGTTGTCGTGGCTGGCCGAGCCCGAGGGCAGCCAGGGGGACACGGCCCGGGAGCTGGTCTGCTTGGCCATGCTGTAGTGGCTGATGACGGTGTAGAACCTGCCCCGGGAGTTGGAATCCTGGGCTGAGTAGTAGGCGTCCAGCGAGGCGGGGATGCAGCGCTTGTGCTGGGAGGGGAAAGCACAAAGAGAAGCAGAGTGATGCCATCAGGGATGATTTCATGGCTCCTGTTTGCACTCACACTGCTGCAGCTGCCCTGCCAGAGCACCAAGCCGGGCTTGGCATTCCAAACCTGTTGCTATTGGCAACAGATGGCAGCAGATCTGAGAGATCGGGGCTGTGCAATGAGGGAGGGACCAAAGGGGCTGGGCTGGCTGAGCAGCTCTGCTCACCTGCTGGTCCCAGGCCAGAATCCATCCCCAGACAGGCAGGGGACAGGCAGAGGCAGCAAAAGCTGCTTTGTGCTGCTCTGTTAGAGAGTGTTACCCTGAGCAGTGGGATGAGCACCTGGTTGGGGATGGCAGGAGGCACAGCCCAATGGGGCAGCTCTTTTCACAAGTTCAGGTTTGGATTTGATTCTGAAATATGAAGGGATCTCAAAGCTCATCTCATTCCACCCCTGCCATGGCAAGGTCACCTTCCACTGTCCCAGGTGCTCCCAGCCCTGTCCAGCCTGGCCTTGGGCACTGCCAGGGATCCAGGGGCAGCCACAGCTGCTCTGGGCACTGTGCCAGGGCCTGCCCACCCTCTCCAGGAAGGATTTCTTCCCAATATCCAACTAAACCTTCTCTCTGTCACTTTGAAGCCATTCCCCCTTGTCCCCCCTTGTAAAGAGTCTCTCTCCATCTTTCTTGTAGCTCCTTCAGGTACTGGAGGCCACAATTAGGTCTCCCGAAAGCCTTTTCTTTTCCAGTGTGAACAATCTCAATTCTCCCTTTTTATATCACCTAAGAGAATAATTCACAATGATTAATACACCATCATCTTACTCTATTTTCCAGCTCACATATTATCCCCAGTGTGGTCAAAACTGTGAATTTATGAGTTTATTCACAGCGAGAAGTCAGTGAATTATTTTTCAAAATATATTTTTTTATCTCAGCAGAGCAGGCTGTGAATATTCAATACAAAATCACTGGGTTTTAGCAGTTGTTACACGGGTTTGCTCTTGATAAAGGCTCAAGAGCACCTAGAAGTGAACTACTTGAGGAAATTTGGATTTCTTTCACAAAGGACAGAGTGTCAGCACTGCAGCAGTTTGCTTTGCATTACAATGTATGCCAGTAAACATCAGTTACTTGGGAGTGTGGGAAGCAAATGCAGGATCCCAGCTGCAATAAATCCATTCACAAATATGAGGGATTGTTGCTGAACATCTGTCTGTAGTGTTCACCAAATGCTAATCCCAACAATTACACTGTAACAGTAGCTGATGGAGTCAGATGCATGTCCACATTTCCCAGAACACTTTTTCCATTTCAACACATTCCTGCCAAATGTTCTGTTTGGCCTGGTCAAAATAAAAAAAAAGCAGCCTGGGCTGTAACCATGCAGGCAATTAGAGCCTGTCATTAGCTCAGGCAATTCATCCTTCTGAAGTTCCTTACCTTATAAACAAATCCATCTGGGCAACTGTGGTCGTAAGTGAAGGCTTTGTACACCACAAGGAACACTATGCAGGCAAGGAATGCAAGAGCCAGGCTTATGAGGATGGTGACCTAGAAAAGAGGGATAATGTTACTGTACATATGTTAAAATGGCATATGAGCAACCTCATAATTAAATGACTTATAGGAACAGACATTGTAACAGACTGCAGCCTTCACTCCACCGTGCAGTACTTAACTAAGCATGGTAATTGACTGAATGCTGGATCCAATATCCTGGATTCCCACACCATTCCCATCCCCCCACGGACTTTCAACATTCCTGTGTTTAACCCCTTGCAAATGTACAGATTTTTTTGTAGTATTTGGTGCTCTCAGCTCTGGCCCAGCAGGACCCGGCAGCAGCCAGAATTCCCATTCCAGGTCTGATGTGTGTGGATGAAGGCCCTGGGACCAGGGCAGATCCCACTTTTCTGGGAGCAGGGAGGAGCAATGAGGTCTTTGTAGCTCACATCCCTTTGTGTCTCCTGGGCAATTCCACCAGGATAAATTGTGTCCTGCAGGAGAAAGGGGATCCTCCTCTGTTTCTCCAAGCTGTAAAAGGACAATATCCTGACTACTGACAAACCCCACAGTGTGTCCAAGAGTGGATGCTGGTGCTGGAGGCACCAGGCACAATTCCCTCTTTGGGGCTCAAATATTGCCCCTCTCCTCATGGCCCAGCAGGTCACCCTGTCTGTTTCTCTGCTGGAGCTCCCTTCTCTCCAGCTCCCCCCTAAATAGTTCATCCAACAGCAAGTTTTCTGTCCCCTCTCCATGTCTGGGTGGAGGCCCTGATCACTGATTTTTGCTGAGCTGTCTGTTCCTCAAGGACTGAGCCAGGAGCTGTAACACACTCCCATCCTCCCCTTTCCCAAAGCTTTCTTGGTCCCATAATTCCACAAAAACCCATCACATCCAAAAGTCAGGCAAGAGAGAGCTGTGGCGACTTATCTAGCAGGAGAGATTCCTGAATTCATTGTTAGATCAGAATATTTTAGAATAAAGGGTAAAAAGGTGAGACTGGGGCTAAGAGACTTTGTCAAGGACAAAGAGTTCACTGAAGCCCAGAGCTGCCTTTTAATGTTCCTGCTCGGATTAACTTCTCCTTGGGGCCTCATCTGCTGCAAAATGGGTCAATTAAGGCAAAGGCAGCAACAGAGGGAGCAGAATTTACTGTGGATCTAGGAGAACACTGTTAGGGAGTCCTGGGGTGCTGCAGAGGGAGCTGGCACTAAAGGAGTGCAGTTGTATGAACTGCACCAGTCCAACCAAGAAAATTTGGGATCCACCTCCTCTCAGACCCCCCTCAGAGGAGTGGATAGAAATATTTCAGAGCAGCTTTATGGCAGCCCTTGAGTTCCCTGGGAGAGTCTGTCCCTTTGTCCCTTTTCATGGTGATAAAGGCTCAGCTGGATTAAAGGCAGATGCAAATGGAATTTGACATGATTTGTGTCCCCAAAAGAAGTTGTACTACACATGAAAAAAAAAATTAAGTCCCTTTGGTATGGTAAAAAAGAGAGATTTCCTGGATTAAATATGCTCTACTTTTTCCAACAAGAGACGTGGGAAAAACAGATCCCTCCCCATAAAGAGCCAGCACAATCCTGGTGGCAGGTCAGTGTGGAGGAGCATTTCCCCTGTAGAACACATCCATCACCTCATCCCCATTTAAAAGGGAGTGCTAGGCCTGGCACTCCCTCTAATTCCAGTACTGAACCACGATGGCAATGACACAAGTGTCCTTTGAGGTTAATTTGAAGGCACTAGGACAAGATGTTCATCTAGTTCTACCAAAGCCAATGCTGAGGGGCAGCCCTGGCTAGAAACTGAGAAATAAGAAATGCTCAGCTCTCCAGTCTGGCTACTGTGCCCCAAATTAAATGTACAATGAGAAAAGAAATGTTGCTTGAAACTCAGCCTTCAGAAGAAGAAAGAACTGAGCTGTCTGGAGTGAGAATAAATGTTTCTTCATGGCTCTTCTGTTAAATCCCACGTGCATGCACAGCCTATGGAAATAACCATTAGAACTGCAATTTCAGGGGTTCTTTCCTCTTGTCCTCCCACTGAGTGCCTAAAAATAACAAATTCCCCTCTGCTCTGGCCAAGTGCTGGCACCCAGTTGATCATGACCCTGTGCTGAGCTCTCCCCTCCCTGCAGGCTGTAACTGAGCCCATTTTCACCCTCCTGCCTTTCCTGCACTCACAGAATTGCTGTGACAATATTACACCTGCTGATAAATGGTGGAAAATTGCTCCAGATGAAATGTCATGTAAGATGTTAAAACCCAAAGGAAAAGGAAGAGAAATCCACCCCCGGATATTCTGCCATGCCAGAGCTAAGATCCACCTCTCCAACTATTCCAGAGCTTACAAAGCTTCATTAACATTCAAACACCAAAGAATCACAGAGCTGCAATACCTAATAAACCTCCACTTTTTTTTTTATGATTAACACGAACCTTGGCAGTCTCTAAGCAATATAAACACTCACAGAGGGGAAATAAAATTTAGTGAGCAGATAAAACCTAGGAGTGCTGCAGGCATGAATCTGTCACATGTGACTGCTCGAGTGGGTGAAAGAAGGGGGGGATTTGCCTGCCCTCTCCTCAAAATCTCACATGATTCCCAAAGGTTCCCTTAAGAGGGAACAGAGAAAAGAGAACATCATTACCACACTGAAACATTCTCCCCATCCTCCAAAAAATGTGGGAGAGGCCCTTAACATCCATGAAGGATGATGTCAAGCTCCCATTAACAGCAGCACACTTGGGGTGGTTCTCCCTTTTCCCAAGATAAAGAAGATTTTTTGCATTTTCACACAGCACAGATGAATAAAAGGATCCATCCTCATCAGGCAGCAGGAGATCAGGTGCCAGCAGGTTTTGTGCCAGGCAGAGGATGCCTAATTGCAGTGGTGTTCCAGCTAACCTGGCTTTCATGCAGCCCATGGAAGCATCCTCCCTGCTCTCTTTGATTTCATCAGCTGCCCAGGATCTCCTTTTTCATCAAAAATTCCCTTTTTCCCCTCTCTCACTCCAGTACCAAGCTTTATTTAAAAGGCAACCAGAGAACAATGGCACATCCAAACAGCAGGGCATTTATTTAACAGCTTTTTTCCATTGCAAGGTTTTTACATTTTTATTTCCTATTCATATAATATATAATCATGGAGTGGCTTGGCTTGGAAGGGATCTCACAGATCATCTCATTCCATGGGCAGGGAACCCCTTCCACTGTCCCAGGCTGCTCCCAGCCCTGTCCAGCCTGGCCTTGGGCACTGCCAGGGATCCAGGGGCAGCCACAGCTGCTCTGGGCACCCTGTGCCAGGGCCTGCCCATCCCACAAGGAAGAATTTTTCACCAACATCCAACCTAAATTTCCCCTCTTTAAGAGTGGGTGGCACCTCTTAGATACCAGGCATGACTTTATTTCTAGATTTCTGGTAAATCAGTGTTTGACTGTGGACACTTTTCTCCCTGCTTATACACTTAAACCAGGAGCAGAGCCAAGAAGATGCCAACCAAGAAAAGCCTTGCTGCCTACAGGAAAAGCAGCCAGGCCCAGAGAAGAGATAAAAATCATTTATCACAGAAAAATTCCTACAAAATTCTGCACCATTTTCCTACTCTCTGCAGCTGTAATGTGAATTAGGGATCTCAGAAGCCTCTGCTGCCTATTTCTGTTCCTGTACTCTTCTCAGCTTCTTCACAAAATTCCAGTTTCTCAGGAAAGGATCCCACTGCTGCTGCCATGTCTGGTTCTACAAGATACCTTCAGTGTTGCTGGGTATTGGGAAATTTTGTGACCTTTAATAGGCAATTCAGCTGAAGAAATTCTCTTGGTTTTAATTTTTCTCTTTGTAGAAGAAAGGCAAAGAACAAGGCAGAATTTGTTATGAACAAAACTGGCAGAAATTCTGTGAAGGTTATTTCAGAGAGGAGCTTAAGAGCTGTGCTTGGAGAGGCAGCAAACCTTTTCCTGTAGTTTATGGCAATTCCATTACACCTGAAAACCCATCAGTCCCTGACAACCCAGTTAACTTGCAGAAAAAAAAAAAAAATCACAAAATCATCTAAGGGCATCCAAATACATCCATGCACTCCTGAATCCATTATAAGGATTTCTGCTTGACAATGAAAAATTCAGGAGGGCAATTTTTTCCCCTTCATGCCATAACTTGTTCCAGCTGATAAAGAGATGGAAGATTGACACCATCAGATTGCACATGGAAGGTGCAGTTAAAGGATCAGGAGCTCCTGGATGCAGCTAGCCTGGTGGCCTCTGTGTATTCCAGGATGGAATCCAAGTGCAAACGCCCAAATCCAGGTTGTTATTGCAAGGACACTCCGGTGTGTCAGCAGGGAGGAGGCACAGGCTGCCAGGACACTGAGGTGGATCAAGCAGGGGTGAGGTACCCCCCAAATTCACCCCAGGAAGAGCTGCCCCACTGTCCCAACTCTGTCAAAAAATTGCTATGATGCTTTGGCCAGCACCCAGACACCCTGATCTACCCTGGCAGTGAAAATGATCTGACTGCACTTCTTCAAAAATGTCATTTCACTCTCCACTGTTAAAAATATTTTTGTAATAAGTTGCTGATTTTGCTGATCTGTTGGCAACAGCTTCGCCTCCGAAATTTTGAAAGGCTAACTGCAAAAAAATGTGACACAATTGGGTCTTCAGATTTGCTTAGTACTGCTCAAGGAGATGTAGGATTTGTTCTTTATTATTACAGCACAGCTTTATCCCAGATGGTGTCCAGAGTCTTAAGAAGCATTGTTTAAGAGATGCTTTGTAAGAGGAAAATGTCCTTAGTCATGTCTCTACATTTTCAGGGCTATGGGAAAATACTCCTTAGTGCTGTGAGGTTTCTTAATGAAGTTTTAAGGTGGGTGGGATTTTTTGGTCCTTTAACTTACATTTCATAATCATAAACCAATCTGGTCCCAGTTCTCATAAGAACAGATGAGGATGGGGTAATCCTGGGGGTCAGGAACTTCTCCCATCTGCTCCTGGGCTGATCCCCAGTGGGCAGCAGGAAGGGGCTGGGATTGTGCCCTTGTGGTGAG